AATCGAAATATTAGAATTAATTAGAATATAGCAAAATTCGAAACAATAATTAAACAGAAAATAAGAAAAAAGTAAATAAAAGTATTTTAAATTAAACAGACAATTTCATAAATCAATAAAAATCGATGAATTGGATGAGTATGTAACGACTAACAAAACACCCATCTATTGGTGAAGTTGGAATTTCTGCGCAAATGCGGCGCGGTTACCGCCTGGTTGATTCTGTTTTCATTCACTGTGTTGTCAAGCAAAACTATACCATTGATGTTGATGTCACTGTTGTTGATATTGATTTTGTGCATGATGACGATGTTGATGATGATATTGACAATGATAAAAATAACGATAACGATAATGATGAAGATGAATTCATGTTCCATCAATCAGTGCCATTGTGTTCCAGCATTGTGTTATTTTGTCAACTGCATATCTTGTCTTAGTAAAGGCAATAAAAAAAAGAAAAGAAAACGAGGAGAAAAACAGAAAATCGTTTCAAATAAAATTAAGCTTAGTTTAAAGTTATTGTAAGTTTGTTGCTAATTATTAATTAACTTAAAATGAGTTAGTAAAAGGGTTTTTAATATATTTATTAGAAGTATGAAACGATTAAATGGTTTATCGATGGTGCTAATGCTAATGGTCTTGAAAAGCTGCACCCTTTTCATCGGCTAACCAACAATGTTTCATTGCTAGTACTACATTTATTACTACTATTATTTACTAATTTACTCTTCGATGCTTGATGTTCCAAATAGAGCCTTTTGTTGTAATCGGATTTCGACAATTTTTCATTATCCAAAGGAAAATCTAATGTAATATTTGTTATAAATCACACCCGCAAATATGTTCATTGTGTTAATTAAAATTGTATATATAATCAAGGCTATAACTGAAAGATCATTTTTCCTTTTCAAACACTCAACCAAGGAGTGCATCGTACATTGTGCACCATACCGATGGAATTTCTTTTCACATTGTTCCTGATCATTTCATAAATCGGTATTAACATAATTTCTGTTATTCTTTTTTCTAAATATGCTGTGAGACGACTTATGAATTATGTGGAATGTTACTAAATGAATAATGATATTAGTAAATTTTGATCTCAGTACGGCATTCCGGAATATATGATTGATGGTTTATTTAACCCACTTATCGAAAAGGACATCTTTTTGAACCGATTAGTTGATCAATTTGGGTGCCAAATATTTATTTTTTATATTTTATGTAACAAATCATT